AAGGGAGAAAGCTGGTCCGTCGGGGAGAGTGCAGCAGCCGCTGGAGAGACACAGGAAACAGCTCTTGGCTCTTGCCCTTTCTTTGGGTACATGATCCCAACATGCCTCTAGCAGCTTTCTTCTTTGGCCTAGCCCGGGGAGGTCAATGCTGGGAATGCTGTCACACGCCTAGAATCCAGCCCTTGAGAAGTGGAGGCAGGAGGACCGAGAGTCAAGGCCAACAACAAAAACCACACAAATATTGTGAGGTTAAGAAACCGCACAGAGGGCTGGAGAGATGGTTCAGCAGTAAGAACGCTTGTTGCTTTTCTGGAGTGGTAGCTCACTAGGGTCTGTGGCTCCAGTTCTAGGGGATCAGATGCCCTCTTCTGGCCTCTGAGGGCACCAGGCCCGAATGTGGTGTACAGGTACACATTCAGCCAAAACACTCGCACATAAGATAAAAATAAGCAAGTCTAAAAACCGAAAGGCAGAAGGAACTCACAGGAGTGACCGAGAATGGCTTTGACGGCCACGTTGTGCCACAGCTGTACCAGGCAGCGCTCCCGTTCCTAAACAGGACATCCCGAGAGTCATCTGGGGAGCCGAGGACACCTGCTCGCTCTTTCAGTCAACATCTGTCGAGCACCTACTCCCTGTTGGCCTTTTCTAACTGAGCCCAGATTATTTAGAGGTGGACAAGCCTGCCAGGCTACTGACCCGCACGGAGCTCAGGTCTGGCGGAGAAGCAGGCACGAAACAAGACCAGGCCCTGTGCCAGTGGGTGGTTAGACATTCTAATGAGGGCGCCAGAGGAAGGGGAGATGCTAGGCAAAAATAATGGACTGGAGAGTGTGCAGGGCCGGTGGCTGGAAGGCCCTTCTGGGGAAGGAGACACTTGAACGGAAGCCCGATGGGTAGGAAATCTGCCAGGTGGGAGTGAAGTGTGCTCTGCGGCAGCGGCAGCCGGGGGAGCAGTGGTAGTGAGGATAGTGTGCCAGGCACGGTGCTCACAAGTGTCTCCTGTTAGGAGGTCCTTTTTCTTTCGGCATTGGCAACCAAGGCACAGAGAGGCTAGGAAACCTGCCTAAGGTCACACAGCGTCAAGTGTTGGGGACTGTGCTCGACATCCAGAGGGTGACTTCGAGGTAGGAGCTGGAGGGTGATTGATATCCAGAAAGATGAGGTGCAGCTGGCAGGGGGAGGGGGGCCTGGAACTTCTCCACGCCTTGAAAGGCGTTGCAATTTTATTCTATGTGTCATGAGGAGCAACTGAAGCTATGTAATCAGGAGAGGGTGTGATCCAATGTGTGTGCTAAAAGGCCAGTGGTGCACTTAAAAATTATCGTGTTTTATGAATACAAAACTTGTATCTGCTCTTTTGGAAAACACAGAAAAGCACCAAGGAGAATTTATTTATTTTAATCTCCTCTACTCTGACACTCAAAAGCATCACTGATAACCAGGGACTATGGCCTTGAAGTCATTAACCAATATTTATATTTAATAGCATACTTGGAAAGATTGTACTGCACACATTGTCCAGCCAGCCAGCACTTAAGGAAATATTGTATCATGTGATGGTTTTAGTCCAGGGTTTTGCAGGAAGAGGCAGGCACTGTTGGGAAGGAGGGCGGAAAGTGGGTGGCTGCTCTAGCTGATCAGCCTGACAGGAAGTTGAGTCCTGTCCAGGGCACAGGTCTAGGCTGTCATTTGGAGACTGCTTCTGAGCCCCAAGTGGCTTCCTTAGAGCGTCCAGTTTCAGAGTTCTCCTGGAGCTGACCTGGGCTAGGACCTCTTCTCTGCACATCCGGCTGTCAGAGGGCAGCTGTCTCATGCAGCCCACAGGGTGAGGATTGGTCCTTTGGTGCTGTTCTAGGTACCTCAAGAAACTTCATCTTCTCTTTTGCCTTCACAAGTCAGGATGGGACCAGGCCTGGCGACTCTGGCTGTTCATAATCAAGATAAACCACCAGCTTTATATGTACATGCATCGTATTGATGAATCTTACCCACCATCCTGTGGGACAAATAAAGTGGCTTGCTCAGAAACTAGAAGGTGATGGAGCCACCCGGTGTGAGGATGTCAAATTCCACACATTTAGCTGTGTCTTCATAAAGCCTATGTCTCCCCTGTGCTAGTAACATCCTGTTCTGTTTGGGGCAGAAGTTTACTTTCTCAATGTGACTCTGACTGGGCTGGACCCATCACAACAAAGGATGACCACAGGCTAGAGAAGAGCTGCTCAGTATATTTACCATCTGCAAATGATGGGCAGGTACCCAGAATAAAGACCTACTGCACAGGTCCGTCCAGGAGAGGAAGCTGGTTTTCGGAGCAGGGCCCTCAGGAACACTATATAATCAAAGTTGCCCATCCTTGTACACCTATCAGGGACCTTGGCCATAGCTCAGTTAGGTTCCAGTAACTTCCCCAGATTTGGCTGGAAAAATCCCCAGAATGCCAGGCCACCAGGCAGCCTTCCTGGGAAAGCCAGTCTCGTGCTGACCCCTCCCTCCCTCCTCTTCATGGAAAAGTACAGGCAGACTGGTGCCCTTCAAGCCTGCAGGCAGATGTAGTCTGCACTCCGCACATGCTGGCCCTGTACGCCCCAACTGTGCATGCTGACTGGTTTGTCCTTGGGCCAGGCCTGGAGGAAAATAGTTTCCCCAAAAAAGCAGTTTTTGAAAAAGATCTGGAAAATGTCCACAGTCTAAGTGGGGGTGGGATGTCTTCTAGACAGGCTTGCATTGCAGCTGAGGACTCTGGTCCTCCAGCAAAGAGGCAGGGAAGGAATGTGAAACCCTACCCCCCAAGGAGCAAAAAAAAATTTTTTTTGTTTTCTTTCTGCCAGTTCCGATAGGGTCAGGCACATAGAGCCTGCTGGGAGTCTAGGCCTCCTGGAGGCTGCTTCCCAAGCCTGTGGTACAGCTGTGGGCAAGTCAGGATACCTGGCTGGATATCCCAGGTGCTCACCCAGGCCTCCCAGCTCTCTTCTCCTCCTCTTTCCCTCTCTCCTTCTCCCCCTCCCTCTCCCCTCCCTCTCTCCCCCCTCTCCCCTCCCTTGGGTTTTTATATATGCTCTCATGTGATCCCCTAACCTTGGCGGAACTATGCTTGGTCCATAGGAGCCTTGTTGACGGCATCACAGAGTGAACGAGTGCCCTGAAGAGTCACCTCGCCTCTTCAGGAAGCAATTTCTCACCCCACCAATGCTGGTGCTGAGTTGGATGAGCTCTGATGTCTCAGTGCCTTCTGCTTCAAAAGCTTTGGAGGGCTCTACCTGCTGATCAAAGCCTGACTTCCTAGCCTGTGCTGGTAAAACTGTTCCTTTCCACACAGGCCATCTGCCTCACTCCCCAGCACACAATCTGCCATGACCTTTCCAGACACTCACCTTGACTGGATGGAGTCAGCCAAATGCTCATTCTGGAAGCCCAAGGCCTGCTCTTCCCGGCATGCCCGCCCGCAGTCCAGGCCGAGGTGCTCACAATGAACACTTTGCAGCACCATTGATTCTGGCAGGCCCAGCCCCGGGACCACAGACTGAAGCTGAGTTTGGAGTTAGAGACTGAAATGTGCAGATAGGAGGCACATGTGCATGTGTATGATGTGTGTGTGTTGTGTATAAAAATCAGGGTCTCAATGTCGGGGTCAAGGGTGAGGGATTTGGAGTGTGGATCATGGTAAATGGTCCAGGAAGATGAATGCAGGGAGGGGCAATACAGAGGGAGAGCTGTGGTGATTCTCCCTTAGGCTAAACTTCTTGATTTGGGCTGAATGGTTTGGCGGTACATTTCTTCTTTTCTGAACCAGGTGGCTAATGTTCCTTGAACTAACTGCATAGGAACTGTATCCCTGAGCACTGGTGGGCTGGAAGGGTGGGAGGGCCTGGCTTCCCCTGCTGGCCATGGCAGAGCATCAGCAGGACGGTCTATGTGCCTGGCTAGACTTGGTCTGGTGGCCTGGTGGGTGGGTGGGGGAGAGTGTGTTGAGATGACTCGGGGAACAGGGAGGTCTTGGCAGCGGGAGAAGGGTGGGCTGCCTTTTTGTCTTCTGTGTGTGACAAGAGAGAGGAGTTTTGAGGGGGTGGTGTGGCTCCAGGCTCTCCCACTACCCCCCAAGCTCAAAATCTGGTTTATTGAATTTACAGTAAAGGTTTTATGGGCTTTCCTGGAAGCGTCTCATTATGGAAACTCTGGTGCTAGCAGTTTGGTGGCTGGTGTCTGGTTTGCTTGGGAGAGGTTGAGTCAGGCCCTGTCTTGATGGAAACTTCCTTTGCCTGGGTCACCCAAGGGGAGGAACCGAGGGCTTCCCTTGAGGAGACGGCCATCTCTGTAGCTTGGTCTTCCCTGGTCCTAACCTGCTTCCACTCTGACCCTTTGCTGTGGGTTCCCGACATCTGCTCCTCAGTGGAAGTGTGTTGAAAAGGTTACTCCTACAATTAGAGCCGTCTTCATTATTTTTCACACTTTTGCAAAGCATCAGATGATGGTCTACTGAGGGGAAAGACATCTCTACAAGAAGGGACTGGTGACTACCGGGGACATAGAACAAAATGGGCCATGTCTAGATTAGAGTCCCCTGGCTCTGGCATGAGGTGCCAATGGCTACCTGCCTCCAGGCTGCCACTTAGAAATTCCTTTCTCGGCTCTCCTGGCACCCTCTGGGACTCCCTCTCTGTGGTTTCCTCCAGGCTGAATTCTGGCTGCAGGATGGCTGACTTCTTCAGGTACCGTCTCTAGGATCTTTGCAAGAGTCCAGAAACACAGATTAGGAGTGTGGGTGATTGTGACACATGGAGACCTTGAACTGGAGCTGATTCCCAGCTCCCCAGCCTCCCTGGCTGTAGGTCCCTGAAAGACAAGTCACTTGGTGGTCTGTCCCATGTACTTCCTATTTCAGCATTTGCATGCATGATGGTCATATCCTTCAAAACCCAGGGACATCCAGGAACCTGAATAGGCTGGCAACTGTGAAGTTGCTTTTTTTTTTTTTAATTTTTTTTTTTTTTTTTAAGCAGGGGAGAGCATGGATGCAGTCCCCCACTTCCACAAACTGTGCAGGCAAGTTTCCCCCATTTGGGGAAATCGCAGGGGTCAGCACATCCGAAGTGTGGTGGAAGAGCTCGCCCTGGGAAAACCACCTTCGTGATCATGGTGTCCCCTGCCAGGTAAGTATGTGAAGTGAGTGGTTAGAGTTTCCCCAGACACTCATGTGCTGTGCATCCTCTCTATGAAGGTGTCAAGAACAGTGTCAGAGCCCCACTTCATTGGGATAGATCTGGACCCTCTCAGAGCTGGGAAACCTTTCTATCACTCCCTAGTGTCCAGCTACAATCCACTCTGCTGTAGGAGTCACCAGAGACACCCAGCTGGGATTTCTAACACCGCCCTGCAGGTGTTGGCCTGGGCAGTCTGTGAGATGGCTGATCCGAGGCACCCCTGGGAACCTGGGCCAACGTTTCAGACGCACCAGTGTGAGCAAGCCTCAGTTCTGGAGTGCACCTCGCTTCCTTCTCTGCAGAAAGGAAAGTAATAGTAACTTGGCAGGCTGCCGAGTGAGTCACACTCACCTGAGAGCATCTGGAACTGGGCTGGCGCTGGCTGGAGTCACCACCTCCTCCCTTCTCCCAGCGCGATGACAGGGGCACTGGAAACAAGCCTGTTTGAGAATCAACAACTGCCGGAGTCGTCGGATACACAGTGTATAAACCGGAGCACAGTCTGGCCTGTTTCATTTCCCCCGCTGTCCACGTTTCCAACCTGTAGGTCTGGGCCTGTCTGTTTCAGACAGCGAGCCCCTGGGGGAGGGGGTGGGGCACTAGGCTGCACCAGGCCAACCGTCTGCCTACTCTTGAGCTCTTGAGGGCCGTGACAATGACAACACCCATCTTACAGTTACCGCCGCCTGGGACTTTTCCAGCACCCCGGGAGGCAGTGAGGACGGGAGAGGAATGGCCAAAGTGGACAAGTGTTAGCAGAAGGACATACAGCTGCCTGTGGCAACAAACCAGACCTAGAACACCCGTGCATTTGGGTGGAGTCCTTGTACACACATGTGCACTAGCATGTGCATGCACAAAGACCAGAAGTCAATGCTGGGTGTTTCCTCCATGGCTTTTCACCTTGTTTATTTGAGACAGTGTCCTGCCAGTGAACCAGGAGCTCGCCATTTTCACTAGTTTCCACACGGCCTAACAGTGCATTATGTTTACACAAAAGGCTTTTTCCTGGGACTCTCCAAGTCCACTATTAGGGCAGGTGAGGGCTCAGCCATGATGCTCAGGGAGGCAGAGCCATAAGCTATGGCCCTGTCCCTGTTTCTGCATCTCTGAGGGAGGAGCAGGGTAGAGGATTGTGGTTAGTGCAGCTGATGGTATTATCAATGTGCCTGGAGGTCTGTCTTGCATTGAACAGTGGTGGGGAGCCAGTCACCCTTTTCCCTGAACTAGCTACACATTCTCTCTCTCTCTCTCTCTCTCTCTCTCTCTCTCTCTCTCTCTCTCTCTCTCTCTCTCATGCTTCTGGCCTTCCTAATGAGGTCCATCCAGTAACCTATACATGGAGAAAGTGAGAACATCCCTGGCTGGCAGGCTTTGTAATCCAGGAGGCATCTAGGCAGTGGTACCAGGTCCTGGGTTCGCTGCATGAGATAGCTGTTTGAAACCTGGGACTTATACAGGGATGCTTGGCTCAATCTGGGAGGAGGGGACTGGACCTGCCTAGACTGAGTCTATCAGGTCGATCTCAGTCCTCGGGGGTGGCCTTGATCTGGAGGTGGTGGGAATGGGGGGTGGGCTGGGGGGAAGGGGAGGGGCGCAGGAAGGGGGAGAACAAGGAAATCTGTGGTTGTTATGTACAACTGAATAGTATTGTAAAATAAAATAAATTAAAAAAAATAAAAATAAATTAAAAAAAAGAAGACGATGGAAGTGGGCAAATGAATGCACCCGAGAATAAGAGAGAGACAGAGAGAGTCAGAGACAGAGAGAGAGAACAGAGAGAGACAGGGAGACAGAGAGATAGAGAGACAGAGAGAGAGAGAACAGAGAGAGACAGGGAGACAGAGAGATAGAGAGAGAGACAGAGAGAGACAGAGAGACAGAGAGAGAGAGTCAGAGAGAGAGAGAGAAAGAGAGAGGGAAAGAACAGAGAGATTGAGAGAGAGACAGAGATAGAGACAGAGAGAGAGAACAGAAAGAGTCAGAGAGAGAGACAGATACACAGACAGACAGAGACAGAGAGAGAGGCAGAGACAGAGAGACAGAGACAGACAGAGACAGAGAACAAAGTCAGAGAGAGACAGACACATACAAACAGAAGGGGGGAGAGAGAGAGGGAGGGAGAGAGAAGGAGAGAGAGAGAGAGAGAGAGAGAGAGAGAGAGAGAGAGAGAGAGAGAATACCAGAGTAAGAATGAAGTTTAGATTCTGACTGAGTATGGGAAGCAGGGGTTCATCTGACAGGCTCCTGGAATTCCAGGTGTGATGTCGGAAGGGCATGGCCTCGGGCCATCAATGGATGAAAGGGAGGGAATTCCTGAACACAGGGAGTGGGTGATATTGTGGTTCTACCCAATTTTCCTCATAGCTCCAGGATCTGGCGAACACATGGCTTTTGTTTTCCTACAAGGCCATTCCCTGATTGGGAGGGTATCTCACCTAACTGTAGGCTTGTGGGAACAGATGAGCCCAGCCAGCTCTGTTTCCCTCTAATGGTTTGGAACTGGGAAACACACAGAGAAGGGGAGAGTGGTGGGCGGGTGTGCCAGCTAACTTCCTCCTGGCTGGGACGGAACACCTGACTAAAGTGATTTAAGGAAGGACAGTTGGTTTTGACTCCTGAGGGTACATCATGGTGGGAAAGCCTGGTGGAAAGAGCATGAGGCAGCTGCTGATGTGGTGTATGCAGCCAGGAAGGGGCAATGCTCAGCTTACTTTTCTACTGTTAAAAAACAGATTACCGCCGGGCGGTGGTGGTGGCGCACGCCTTTAATCCCAGCACTAGGGAGGCAGAGGCAGGTGGATCTCTGTGAGTTCGAGGCCAGCCTGGTCTCCAAAGCAAGATCCAGGAAAGATGCAAAGCTACACGGAGAAACCCTGTCTCGAAAAACCAAAACCAACAACAACAACCAACCAACCAAACAAACAAAACCCCACAGGTCGCTGGGCGGATGGCTCAACAGCTGTGATCCCTCGTTGCTCCTGTAGAATACTCAGGTTTGGTTCCCAGGTCTTAACATGGTGGCTCACAACCACCCATAAATCCAGTTCTAGGGGACCGGACGCTTTCTTCCAACCTCCATGGGCACCAGACTAACATATAGTGCACATACATATATATACCCAGGCAAAACACAAAATAAAATAAATACATATTTACAATGTTCTTTACATTTCTTTCTTTATGCACACATGTCCGCACACATGAGGAGGTCAGAGAACCACTCACGGGCCTTAGCTCTCTCCTGTCCTGTGGACACTGGCATGGAACTCACGCCATCAGGCTTGATGTCAAGCAACTCTACCTGCTGAGGCTTCTTGCTGGCCTCCATGTTCTCTCTTTTGTTCACTGTGGAACTCCAGCCAATGGGATGGTACTGACCAGTCAGGGTGGGTCTCCCTCTTAAGCCTCTCCGCAAACACCATCACCGATACACCCACAGCTTGGTCTCTGAGAAGGTTCTAGGTCCTATCAAAGTTGACAACCAAGCTGAGGTGAACAGAAGCTGCAGACTGGGGAACTGGAGGGCCATGCTGTGGAAGATAGAAGGGAAAGGCCCAGGAGGAAGTCATAATACCAGGGGAACACTGGGTAGAAGATGGTCAGACTCCCACTGCCCAGGGCCAGAGGCTGCTACAGAACCAGAACCAACCTCCTCCTGCTGCTGTGCCCCCCCCCACCCCGTTTGCCTTTCTCTGGGTTCCTGAGTCCATGCTTCCCTTCGAGAAACCCTCACGACAAGAGGACACACTGCCCAGTCTGGCTCATACAAACAGAATTCGTCTAACAGATGCCTTGGTGGCCTGAAGAGGGGAGGGACAGACGTATGTGCGTGTGCTTTTCCACGGAAATGCACGTTCAGACTCATTTCCAACACAGGAGTCTGTGAGCGTGGAGCAAGCGGGAGGGGGGAGGAGGGGTGGGGGGAGGGGCGGGAGGGGAAAAGGGGGGAGGCTTGAGGGGACATGCAGGGGCCAGCAGGGAAGACTTCCTGTGGCATCCACTTGGCAGAACTCTTAGTTGTAGAAATGCTAATTTCATGTTCCTCCGGAAGGTAGGAGCCATTTGAGATCAAATTATCTCCTCACACACTGAGAATCTGATTAACTGGAGGATGATAACTGGTCCTTAGGGGCTGAGGTGGAGTGATAGGATGCTGATTAAGAGCTGAACACAATGGTCCAGAGGGGACCAATTCTCTGCCTGCCCTGAAGCCCATTTCTGGGTGTTGACCTTCTTTCTGCCCCAGACTCTCCAGAGTGGCTGGCCCTTATCCACTGTGGTTCTTTAGACACAGTGAATATGTGGTCATGTCCATGTCTTCCTGGCACCCACCACCTACTCTTTGGATAATAGTCCCTAGATGGCTGTGTTTGTGTCTGGGTGGTGCTGGTAGTGTCTCACTGGATCTATAGTCAGGGTCTCTTCTCTGGCACTCTCCTGGAGATCTTTGGCAAATCCTGGGTATCTCCATGTCTATTTCCTCCTGTGAACATGGGAAGGCTGCCATTGATGGCTTGTAGCAATGCCAGTCTCTCTTCTAGCCGTGGGGACAAAATGGCAGTGTTTGAGAAAGGTTTGTAAACCCAGTGTGCTGCCAAGTGAGGAGGTGACATTACTTTCTCCTTCTAAGGACTGTCCTTCACACTTCACCCCGCACCTCCCAACAGCTGGGCCAAAGTAACATCAGCACACCGCAGAGTGGATGAGGGAGTTCAAGCATGGCTTTGACTGGGATCACCTGCTGCTCCCACACTCCTTGTTAACACTTTCCTGGGGCCCCTGGAGGACTGGCCCTCCTGTGCTGCTGATGGAGCCACTCAGCATGCGCATGACCGCAGAAGGCTTCAGAACCTTGCCGAGAGAGAAGAAGCACCAGCCATGCACCAAAGTTCAGCGTGTTTTGGAGGCACGAAAACACAGTGAGTGGATAATTGAGGCGAGAGGGTAGCTAGTG